ATCATGTGTTTCTTGTTCTTTGCTTTTTTTTTTTTTTTTTTCACTCGATGGCCTGGCAGGCTGGTATATTTTGGGATTGAGGGAGGGCAGGGGAAAGCGGGTATTATATAGTGGAAACTGAAGTGCTCAATTACTGTTTAGCTTTGTATTTTGAAGCATCTCTGGGTTCGCTGCTAAGATTGCTCCAGTCATCAGCTTCAGGTGTGGTCTTGTAATGGCGCCATGCTGACTTATTAAAAACCGGAAGCCTCTCAAATGATTCACTTGAAAGAGCCTTCAAATAAATGACAGCGTCAGTGCCCACTCCTTCCATGGAATACAGTTTTAGATCTCCCTGGAAGTATCTAGCATACAGACGAGAAATTGGCAGACCATAACCAAATCCAGCCAACGGGGCAGCTCTGGTGGGCTCCAGGCTAGGTCTGGGTGCAGTCGAATACATGTAGTTAAAAAGGCGATCTATTTTTCGGAGTGGGACACCACCACCCTGGTCACTTATCTTAATGGATAAGTCTTCTTTGCCCAAGGTAACAAGAGTTTTAACAGCTGGGTAGCCCTCTTTTCTATCTTCATTGTTCTTTGCTTTTATGATGTCATGAATTGCATTGATTGTTTTACTTACGTTGAACTATCAATGCATACCTGTTATGAATCATATTTGGTCATGGTGAATTGTTTTGTGGTTGGTTGTTTTTTATTTTGTTTTGTTTTTAATGAACTATTAGATTTTATTGGCCAGGATTGTATTTAGGATTTTTGCACCTATGCTCATAAGATACATTGGCCTAGTTTTCTATTTGGTGGTGTCTTTTCCTGGTTTTGATATCAAGAATATGTTTGCTTCATAGAATGAGTCTGGGAGAATTCCTGAAATTGTAAAAATTAGAGCAGAAATAAGTGAAATAGAAAACCTAAAAACAATTAAAACCATCAGCCAAACTAGGAGTTAGCTCTTTGAAAAGGTCAAGAAAATCAACAAAGCACTAGCAAAATTAACAAAGGAAAAGAAGAAAAAGGCCCAATAATCTGAATAATAGATGAAATGGGTAACATCACAGTCAAAACAGCTAAAATGAAAATGATAACATTAGAATATTATGAAAACCTATATTTGAACAAATATGAAAACCTAGAGGAAATGGACAAAATTTAGAAATGCACAAGCTACTTAAACTGACATAAACCAAAATTTAACACCTGACTAGACCCATTACAAAAGAATAAATTGAAAAGTTAATAAGAAATTTTCCAGCCAAAAAAGTTCTGGACCACCTGGTTTTACAAGTAAATTTTATCAAACATTCAGAGAACAACCGTCACCAGTTCTACATAAACTATTTCTGATAACAAAAAAAGATGAAGGTCTCCTAAGAGTATACATTTTGATCAAATTGAAACATGTACTAGCTATTCCTGGGGTATCTAATGTCTTTCAGCTTCTACATAATCACCAACATCTTGTAGGTGCACAGAGTAATCTCTCTTGCCACATACTGATTTTGTTGAACTGTCCATCAGGATTCTTTAGGACCCACTTCTCCCATTCACCAGTTAGGTTCTGACATCCTGGGTATTTAACCCGAGGAGCCCAACTATTTCTAATATATTTTTTAGTAAGATCAACCATCAGCTATTGATAGTTTGCACAGCTATTTTGATGATTCATGATAGGCCAGGAAGCACTGACTTTAAATGCTCTGTTTATCCAGTTCTCTGTCACACCTATTTTGCAAGACATTCAACTTACTAAGATCAGACTGATGAGTTGTTTCTGAATTTAAGGTCAATATCACAGTATAGGATTGAAAGCAACCTGGTATTTGTATATCAGATTGAGGGCTTACAGTATCTACTGGCCATTGGAACTGAACTCTTATTATGTCAGATGATTTTCACAGATTCTTTCAAGGTCTCAGGTAGAGGGATACCACCAGCTTTCCAAAGGGTTGTTTAGTTTTGGGTTTTGTTGTTGTTGTTTTGTTTTCCCCCAATGGTATGGCTAACCAGTTCATGATATTTTTTATTTCTTTCACAGTTCTGACTCCTTTATGGTAAACCCAACAGACAATTAGTTAACTTTTCCCTTGAACTATATTTATGAATAGTTCCTAATGAAGTTTTTCGAGAGTGTATGGATCACTCCTTTTAGTATCATTAAAGTGAGTACTTTCAAATAGACTCATGACTCTATTTTATATTTCTTCTACTGCATGATAGTAGTAGCAGGGTGAATACTAGTTTACAAAAATGGCCATTGTTGTTTTGTTGTTATAACAAGAAAAAAAAAAGAGTTATTGTTGTGTGTTATTGAATTAGGACTGATTTACACCTGATCATCAAGGAGTTTGAGGAGTCAGTAAATCATTCAGGAAGATAGTGTTCATCTTTCTCCTATTATTAAGAATTTGTTGTTGTTGTTGTTGACTTCTTTTGAGTTAAGCATAACTCATAGTGACCCAAAGAACAAAAAGCAAGAAGCCCTTCCACAACCATCACCATTTATCAAATTTCACAGAGTTTTCAGAGGCATGCTGTTTGGGAAGTGGATGACTAAGCTTTATTATCCTTGCCTGAAGAAGCACTCTGGCTACACCTTCTCTATGAAATATCTCTTGTTTATTTTGTAATGTGTGGCATATTGAATGCTTTTCTCCAACATCACAGCTCAAAGAAATCAATTTTTTATCATCCTTATTCATTGCCCAGCTTTCAGATGCATAGCCAATGAATCAGTCACACCTTAGTCCTGAAACTGACATCACTGTTCCTCAATAATTTGTAGATATCTGTGATATGACTGAAGACTTACCCAGTGCAATACATACCCTGATCTCCTGGCTGCTGGTACCATGTGTATTGATTGTTAATCTAAGGTGAATGAAGTTGTTGACAGTTTTAATCTTTTCTCCATCTATTACAATGTTGCCTCTTGGTCCAATGTTTTCTTGATATTGAGATGTAATCCAATCCGTATGTAAGGCTATTACCTGTTATCTTCTGCACCCAGGACTTCCAAATAGCCCCACTTTCAGTAAATAAGGTTATCATCTGCATCTTGAAAGCTATTGATAAATCTTCCTCCAATCCTGATGCCACATTGTTCTTCATAGAATTCAGCTTCTGAGATAAACTGATTAGCCTACAGATTTAATAGATATGGAGAATGGATAAAACTTTTACTTTAAATCATGCAGTGTTCCTTTGCTCTATTTGGATAACAGCTTCTTGGTCTAGGGATACATTTCATATGAGCATAATTATGTGTTCTTGGATTCCAATTCTTCTAAATGTTAGTCATAATTTGTATTGATCCACACATTCAAATACCTTTGCATAATCAATCAAATGCAAACACACATCCATCTGGTATTGTTAACTTTCAATCAATGTCTGCCTGTCATCCACAATGATATCCCTGGTGCTCTTACCTCTTCAAAATCCACATTGAATTTCTGAAAATTTTATTTCAATGTACCGTTTTAGCCATTTTTGGATGATTTTCAGTCATATTTTGCTTGCATATGATATTAATGGTATTGCTCAATAATTTTCACATTCTGTAAGACCACCTTTCTTGAGAATGGGAATAAATATTGATCTCTTATTTGAAATAGGTCAATTGCTTTCCAGTTGATTCCTTGTCCTTATTTTTCCCTAATTCCTTCAGTGAAATTTGAACTTCTTAATTCATTACCTTTGACTATTCTTCATATAGAACTTCCTAAAATTTTTAACTATCAACTCATTTTCTGTTTCCCTTCCATCTCCTTTTGATACTTCCTGTACCATTCAAGAATTTGCCCATAGTATATCTTAATACTGCAACTGGAGACTTGAATTAGTTTTAAAATTATTTTAATTATGGAAATGCCAAGCAATGTTTTCTCCTTTTACTCCTCATCTACAGTTTTTTACACATTCTGCTACTGTACTTTGCTCATAGTATAATAAATAATAAATAAATAATATAATAAAAAAGTTTAAATTGAAGCTGAAGAAATTAAACTGGTCCACAAGAATCAAAATATAACTTTGAGTCTATTCTACTTCAGTTTAAAAATCATCTGCAGGATAAATTTGAGGCACTGTCTAAAGAAGTTTAAATTGAAGCTGAAGAAATTAAACTGGTCCACAAGAACCAAAATATAACTTTGAGTCTATTCTACTTCAGTTTAAAAATCATCTGCAGGATAAATTTGAGGCACTGTCTAAAGAGCAGAAAATGGGACATGGGGCATAGGACTATTAGCATCTTTCTGAAAGGGCCAGAGACGGTGAAAATAGCACAGCCTTTCACTACCCCAGAATAGAAAGCAGATAAAGAACCTTTAGACTAACTCCAGGGTGTCTCAAGAGACACACAAATAGCAAGAATTCATTTATTTATTGTTGACTCAAACTTTACTCACAGTTGTAGTGGTATTGAGAATGGAGTTTATTAGGGAAATAAGTTGGAGAGTGGTGGAGACAAAGAATATCTCACAATAAAAGTCCCAGTTTTAATCCAATAGTCCCAATTTACAATTCCTCAATTAGTACAAGCTCCAGTTTCACTTCAGCAGTCAGCTTTTCCTTCCATACTCAAAGGCAAGAACAGCAAAATCCTTTAACTGTGGCCTTTATCTCAGAGATCCTCTGGTTACACCTTGCCACAGTTTCTCCACAGCAAAGCCACAGTCTCTCCAACACCATTACCAAGGTCTCACTACCAAGGTGTCACTCTCATCAGGGTCTTGTTTCATTCTCCTTCAAGCCTTGCCACTGTAAGTCTAGCTTCCCAGTGTGGGAAGTACTCTTCCTCTTATCCTAGTCCTTCAGCTGTTGATGATTTATAAGACTATGTGTCTGTAGTTAAATTATCTGGAGATCAGAAGGGCTAAAATAATGGCTAAAAAAGGCAACTTTGGGCTAACACAGCAGGCACTCAATGCTAATGACCAAAGACTGTGTGAATTATAGTACGGTATCAAGGTTATCTTCCACAAACAGAGCAGGAATTAAAAATAAAAATGACCACAAGATTTATGTAGCCTTGTTATCAGAATTAACTTAAGGAATATATGCCTTCAAGTTTTTCTTTCCAGTCTATTTTTATTTTATATTGGTTTGCATGTGAAATTTATGTACAGTATAAACCATTTATGTACATTGTATTTCACACATCCCTATGTGTTTCATAATATGAAACATCTTATTGTGGTTTAAATTATCAATCAAATACACTGTGATTTTCACAATTAATCACTACTGATCAAATAGCTACTATTATCCCGTATTTTCAGGTTGCTGTAGGATCTCTCCTAACTTCTTCACCCACCCACCCAAAGCCTATCTCCCCACACCTCTCTGCTCACCAATTGCTATTACCCTGGTGATTTCCTCCTTTCCCTAACCTCTGCCCTCCTTCCTATGCCTCTTCCATTTTTGGGGTTTTATTCACATATTAATAGTTATCTTTCTATTTTTATAATAATGGTCTTAAACAGTATTTGTCCTTATGAGACTGAATTTTCGTTCATGCAGCATAACTTTAAGCATAAGATTTCAAAAGGCAGCTCATGAAAACAAAGAAAGTACTACAATGGAATGTATTTATATACCAAGTACATCTATGTGAAACCACAAATTTATGTAATGTTAGTATATTATCTGTATTAGACTTAAGAAATATATGTCTTCAAATTTTTATCTTTTTAAATATTACTTCATGGTAGAAATTATTTTTAATTTACATAACAGTGATTGCATTGAAATTTGGAGATGATGCATAATTTGACTATAGTAAGATTTCTCTGTGATCCTGTGGAAAAATTCATATTTATAAGGTTTTCTTTAAATCTTCCAACAATGAGCTAATTATTTTCTTATTTAGAAGCTGTGAACTTTTTTGTAAAATTTATCTATAGATAATTTATACTTATTATCACCATAATTACGGAATTTTCTTTTTAATTACATACTCCCTCTTGACTGTTTCTATTTTTGTTATAGGTTAACTATATTTTAATATCTATTTAGAGTTATTGCCTTATCCTTTCAGATAAAATACAGATTTGATATAGTTGTCTTAGAGGGGTCAGTTATGATGATTATCTGAATTGAAACTGGAAAAAAAAGCAAACCAAGTCTTTTTCTAAAATAATATTGTAATTAATTTTCTTTGACTTTTTCTTAACCTAGATTTGCGTTATAGATTAAATTGTGTCTTCTTAAAAGATGTTTTGACATCCTGGGATCTCTAGTCGCCTATTGGTAAGAAGCTGTGCTGCCATCCCAAAGGCATATGCACACGGTGCAAATCCGCCAGATGCTCCGCTGGAGAAGGAGGAGCAATATCCTCCTGTGCCAGTTGGTTTCAATTTGACAGCACACAACAACAAACACCCCCCCAAATAAAAAGGAAAAGAAAAATTGATGTATTTACATCCTAATTTTTATATATATTGAAAGTCATCTTGTTTGGCAAATAGTCTTTCTTTGAAGATATCAGTTAAGTTTGTGAACTCATATTGCAGTCCTAAATCAATATGACTACTATGCTGTTGGTGAAGAAGACAGGCGGAGGGACAAACACATACAGAACAGAAAGGCATCGTTTGAAAGTATATCTACATGTAGCAAGTGAATCACAAAAACTGGTAATGATCATTAAACGCTAAAAGAGAAACATGAAACAGTTCCTCTTAGAGCCCTCAGAATTAGTCTCAATATGATCGTGAGCGACTCAATGGCATATAAAAACAATAACATGCTAAGGCATGTTTGGAAGCAGGAGTGGCATCCACTTCCTAAATCACATGCCTCCGGAAACCCTGTGAACTTCGATAAATGGATAAATCTCGATAGTTGGAGAGGGGCTTCAAGCCTTTTGTTCACAGGGTCACTATGAGTCGTGCTCAACTTGAAGGCAATCATCACAATAACAGTCTCTAGACTGCGAAACAGGCAATTTTATAATATTTTATGTGTCTGCGTCAGAGGAAAAGGTGATAAATATTTCTCTTACATACTCGGGGCATGTGGGCAGGGGATGCCAGTCCTTGCAGAAAGATCTCATTCTGGGAAAAACAGCGGGTCAACAAAAAAAATGAGGACTCTCAACAAGATTGATGAAATAGTGAGTGCCTAATGGAATTAAGCATTACGGAGGTTATGGGGATTGTACAGCCTAAGACAAGGTTTCAAAAGCATTAAAAAACAAAAACAATTTATTATTGCCAATTAGACAATTTTGTACATGTGTATGTTTTATAGACTTATAAAATTATAATGTATAATTTTCATAAAAATATAATTTTACATTAAAAAAATATGAATGAGCCTAGTCAGCCTCAAGATTTTGTTCTATTGTTGTTGTTGTTGTGTGCCATCGAGTCTTTTGAAACTCATAGTGACCCTGTGTACAAGAGCCCTAAACGCCGTTCTATGCTGTGCCAACCTCACTGTCTCAAACACATTCATTCCCACCACTCCACTCACAGAATTGATCCATCTCATCGAGAGTCTTCCTCTCCTGCGCCGTCCTTCCACTCTTCCAAACATGATGTCCCTCTACAAGGACCAGTCCCTCCTTACAACATGCCCAAAGTATGTCAGACGAAGCTTCAGAATCCTTGACTCCAGGGAACATTCTGACTTCACCCTCTCCAGGAAAAACCTATTTGTTCCCCTAGCAGTTCATGGTATATTCAACACTCTTCCCCAGCACCACAACTCAAAGGCATCAATTCTCTTTCTATCATCCTTATTCACTTTCCAACTCTCCAATGCATAGCATGTGTTTGCAAAGGCTATAGCCTGGATCAGGCGCACCTTAGTCTCCAGCCTGACATCATTGCACTCCAGTACTCTTGAGAGGACCCTCACAGCTGACTTTCCCAATGCAATTCATCTCCTGATTTCCTGGCTGCTGTTACCAGAGTGTTGACTGTGGAACCAAGTAAACTAAAACTGTTAACTATCTCAATCTCTTCACCATCCATACTGATACTGCTAATTGGTCCAGTGGTGAGAATCATTGTTTTCTTGTTATTGAGCTTCAATCCATATTGAAG